GTTGTAAAATGCTTATTAGTAAATTGAAAACTAAGGAAAAGGATAGAAAATTGGCTAAATGATTATACAATCATCTAAAAAAAGTACAATGATACCAAATAACAATGGACTGAATTATTTTGGCAAAACCTTGAATGTTAAGCTTCATTGGAAAGTGCACATTGTGAACTTGACCTTAAGTATAGAAAGTATGATTGAATTTTGATTAGCAATTCATGACTAGCAATATACAATGCAACAAAAAATTCTGAAGATATACAGATAACATAATAAAACACTAATACACCACAATACACCAAAATACTTTACTTTTGCACTGGACGCTCGTTTTGCTAACCATGTTTCATCAGCAGTAGATGATTAAAACTGATGCTCATTGACATGAGATAATTGATTTCGATGTTAATTGACTAAGAGGCGCCATCTACATATTTTTTAACTGGTTTGAAGAGTAGTAACTTTTTGTCTGTATCTGTATAAAACTTCTGTGTGAAAAAATATACATTTCCGCGCTTTTTTTTCGTAAAAAGGTCTCTTGGTAAAAATTGCTAAGACTAATGGTTCTCCAGATATTTAGAAGCGAAATAATCAATACATGTCACCATTAACACATATAGATAGTTAGGTACTAGACTGAAGTCATAAATTTGAAACGTTTTTGTACCAAAGGTTCAACGGACAATTTTTTATAGAAAAAAATGATTAATTTAAAAGATAGGAAGTTTCCAGATTTATAATTTCAGTCAAATAACTATCTAAACTCACCGGCAAAAAAAACCGGCCACTAAAAACTAGTCCCAATTTCAAAGTTGGATTTCTCGCGAACCACTCATTAGACTTTGATGATTTTTTTTTTAATTTGTAAATTAATTCCTTCTTAACGGATGCTACGTCAGAAATTTTTCTTCAGAATTTATTTTGAGCATAAACAAGGCACAACAATAAGACGAAGTTTTTTGCCCGAACTGTGTAACACCCTGTAGGGTGTAGCAGTTGTAGTACCTATTGCTAAATCAAGTCACATTGTAGCCTCATCTTTTGTATTTTGTATTTTTAATTACATTATCTCTGTTTGTATTGGAGATACGCTGCTTTAAAACAAATGCCTCGAAAAAGCTTTAAAAACAAATCAAACATCAGAACGTAGGTAAGTTTAATCTGACCATTTCGCAAAGTATTCAGGACAATAAAGCGGTCGTCAATTGCGTTTGTCTTCCGTTTTCTTCCGAAACCCACTCGCCCTGGTGAAATTTGCCGTTTCCATATCTTCCATTCCAGGCATCCTGGATTGTTGTTCGAGGTATACCCAGGGTATCGTGCACATAACGTTGATTTCGGCCATCCTCAATTAAAACCACAATACCAGCAATATCTGTCACAGATAATGGCATTTTTTAATTTGACAACCGTTATTGTCATATTGCAAATACTTACTCATGAATCCGTTTTCGCCTATGTCGCCTTGATTATTTACACATAAAAGCTTTCTGCCTGCGAACCATTTTTCCAAGACGTTTTTTTTAAAACAACATATCTCCAATACAAACAGAGATAATGTTGTGATTAAAAAAACAAAATGCTCACAAAAGATGAGGCTACAATGTGATTTGATTTAGAAAAAGCTGCTACAGCTGCTGCACTCCACAGGGTGTTACAAAGTTCGGGCAAAAAACTTCCGTCTTATTGTTATGCCCTGCATATGGTCAAAATAAATTTGGAATAAAAATTTACAATTTAAAAAAATCATCAAAGTCTAATGAGTGGTTCGCGAGAAATCCAACTTTGAAATTGGGACTAGTTTTTAGTGGCCGATTTTTTTGCCGGTGAGTGGAGTTAATGTTTATTTTTTGTCAAAAAATATATGTATTGATAATTTACATTCCAAATATTTTGAGAACGGCTAGTGGTAGCGATTTTTACCAAAAGGCCATTTTTACGTGCAAAAATGTATATTTTTGGGCCGTAGAATACAGAAGTTTTCCACAGATACGGACAATAACTTATTCCTTTCAAACCAGTAAAAAATTAGTAGGTGGCGCCCTCTGCAAGTAGAAATCATAATGACATCTAAATCAAATTTCTCATGTAAAAAAATACCCAGACACCAATTTTCACCTAAATATTGACATTAGTTCGGTAATTATTGGGAAACAATCAAAATCAAAATGAAACTTCTACACCCTGTACCTCCGAAACAAAGCATTTAGGACATATATTTATACCAACTTTTTTACTTATTTTTACCTGCAGACTATACCTGCTACAGTTTCCCGAATACAATTCGAACCTCCCTATATACCGGGTGCGTCTCAAAAGTGGCTCACCCCTATAACTTTTTTTTCAGATAAAAAACAAGATTTGGTTTATTAGTATATGACATAAATTAGGATTGACTGACGTATTTAATTCCTTTCGGCCACTTCCTGTTTTACCGGAAATTACTAACTTTTAATTTTTAAATGGCACCCTCGGTATTTTTTTACTTTATTTGATACACACAGAATATACACTCGGAATAGACTGACATATTATATGTCAACTTTTGACATTTTTGGCTTAAAGCAAAATCGTATTTTAAAGTTCAATGTAGAGTGCCATGGCTGTGTTAATAACACTAATTTTTAATCAAGGAGCCTTGGAAAAATAGATCTGTTCGTCTAATGTTTTTCGTGTTTTGTCCTAGCCGGTTAAAAGATGCCCATATCGCATTTTGAATCATATCTCAATTTTTCAAATGGAACAAGGGCAGCTCATTAGCATATTTGGAAAAAACATTATTTTACGAACAATTTGGTACTACACACTTGGTATTTCGAGTCAAATTGTCGTTATGAATCCCATGTTGCAATTTCAAATAAACCATATTCGAAAATGTCAAAAGTTTTTTTTTTCCTTTTTTCATTGCCTAGGCTGCCATGTCCATTCTGGCAAATTACCTTTCTAATTTAAAGAGTAAAAAATCGGACAAACACAGATTCACACACACATTTAACATCCATGCCCTGAGATGGATTCGAACCAGCGATCTTGCGTCTACTAGATAGCAGCAATCATTTCGACCACAAGGGCGGCCATGTCAAAAGTTGACATATGATATGTGTCATTCTATACAGACTTGAGACTGTCACTTTCTATCGAATAAAGTAACAAAATACCGAGGGTGCCATTTAAAAATGATAAGTTGTAGTCATTTCTGGTGAAACAGGAAGTGACCAAAAACAATTGAATATGTCAATCAATCCTAATTTATGTCATATAGTAATATACCAAATCTCGATTTTTTATCAGAAAAAATAAAAAAGTTATAGGGGGTCAGCCACTTTTGAGATGCACCCTTTCGGTGCCTAATTTATTATCAATCCTAATTTATGTCATATAGTAACATACCAAATCTCGATTTTTTATCAAAAAAAATAAAAAGTTATAGGGGTGAGCCACTTTTGAGAGACGCACCCGATATATATAATATGTATACTGATAAACAAAGTTGATATATTAATTTATCAAAAATGATTGACCAATAACGACTACTTGGCAATAATTATGACATCATTAGGAAGCTTCAACATTATTCAATAGTTACTCAAATATGATTTCATAATTTAATAAACATTAATTTTAATTCAATAGTTGAAAATAATTTGTTAAATGTATAGAATTATAGGATCTCTTTTTACATATCGCCATTTTAATGTACTTTTGATATAATTTAGATCAGCTAAAATTATGTAATTTATGTCTGGTACATGGTAAACTTTTGAATAAATTCTATTTAAATGGATTTCCTAATCATCTGTTGATGTTGCTAACACAGTGAATGTGAATCTAAAATGTTGGCTTTAAAGAATAGTGTTTTGTGTTTTAAGTAATTTTCTTAATATATGTAATTATTTTAATGTAGCCTATTCAGAAAGTTATAAAAAAAACTTACTAGTACAGCTGAGATAAGAATTAATAAAATTTATTCTCAGCGTGCAGCGTACATATTGTTGAGATTAATATATTTTTATACTGTACTGTTTCCATGATTCATATAAGAATTGTAAAAATATTGAAAATTATGGCCAACATAACTGACTGTATGATAATTTCATTTTTAGCATTATTTATATATTAAAATACATTTCATAATTACACTGTAATGCTGGATTGCAGAGTATAGCCGTAAGACGTCAAGATCCAAATCGTTGTTCCGTAAGACTTAAGACGCAAGGAAAGCCATTCATAGTTGCCGTAAGACGTATACGATAACTTCATCGTATAATAATTTAATGTTCTAATAATAAACAAGAATACAACCAGAACTAATAGGTTATGTTGTTGTTTGGGCTGTGAATGTTGTGAATAAAACTATAATACTCCTTATTTATTTTGTTATTATTAATTTAATTGAACTAAAATGGACACGGACAATTATATTTTCGTTGCCGAAGTGAAATATCTGTGAAATATATTATAAAAGTTGTAGAAATGGCTACCGAGTACCACCGAACCTAGCCGACAACACCCGATTCGATAAGACGTAACGTAAGAATTAAAATTGGTTCATTTCTTACGTCTTACGGCATACGGCTTACGGCATACGGAAATCTATGAACGCAATCATGTGATTGTGAAGGTCGATATCCCTTACGTCTTAACGATACGGCTTACGTCTTACGGCTACGGAACTCTGAATCCAGCATAAATGATGATTTGCACAATATAAATTCTAGATATCATGATCCAAATATTGTTCTCTAAAGTAAACAAACTATCCCAATTGATATTTTTACACCACTCGTATATTTTCAAACCCCTTATAGTATAATAATTTAATGTTCTAATAATAAACAAGAATACAACCAGAACTCAATATATTTTTTGTAGAATCTTTCTTTAACCAAATGTTATATTTTAAACCGAGAGTAATATTCTGTTACATTCTTCTTGTATAAGTGCATAATACTTTTAATAAACTGATCCAACTACCGTGTAATTTATAAGAAAAACCTACATACCTTGTAAGTTCTTCGCCAATGCTGCTTACTGTCCTGTAACATTCTCTTCCAAAGCATTGACATCACTTCTGGAAAATGTTCATATGTAAATGTTGCATGGGCTAATTCCTGCATTAAGGCTCCCGTAGGTCCCCAGGCTTCATCATTTGTAGCTTCTCTAACTTTGGCTTCGATTTCAGTATAATTCATAACTACATTTGTACTAAAAAATAAAAGAACATAACATAAAACATCTGTTTATAATAATCGTAAAACAAACTTACACTTTATCTGCAATTTCACGTACTTTCCAAAGACTAAAAAGATTATCCATTTTTAATTCGGTAAAACTAAAATTGTTCACTAATTTACAAAGTAGAAATATGAAATTACACGAAATTATAAATTTGCTATGTGGCCGTCGAGAAAAATGTATTAAATATTTTTGACAATGACATTTGACTTTGACAGTTTGACATGGGATTTAGGGATGGGAAATTATTATCAGGAAGGAGCGTGTATTAAAAGTTTTTGCAGGGACGTACATATGGTACGTTAAAGTCATATAAAATTTAATATAGGTCCGTGGCTTTTTGACTACGTATTCCTTGTCCACCCAGGACCACTTGAGATTTATTTATGTATTCATATTTTCATTAATTTTTTTTTGGTAAAGGTGTGGATCCGGTGGCTGACCTAGAAGCCCATATTTGCTGCATTTGATCGATACTACCCAAGAGCACATCGTCGATGTTGCCAAATTGTTTATTCTCGAATTATTTTTAGTTGAAAACAAACGTTTTTTGCAAGGTTTTCGTTTTTTGACTGTTAATCAGTAATAATAATAATAATAATACAAATTCTATAATTAATTTTAGAATTTCAAATTTATCTTGATATCAAAAATTAAGGTAAGAAGGATAATGGAGATTGTGAAGTTATTAGGATTGTAATCGGAGTTGTAATTTAATATTGTAATCAAAATTGTAATAATAACATTTATTTATATATTTACAATAAAATTAAAAATTATCATTTACGGATTTTTTCTTATTGATTGTAAACCTATTAGAATTATTTTGTATCATCAATATAACACATTTATTACATCCATTGTAGGCATATATTTTATCGAAGAATGCTGATAGGATTAAAATAAGCTTTTATCTTTTTCTCTTCAGAAGGGATATGGTTTGTGTCGTAGAATACATTACAGCATTTAATATCCTGTACTTTGATATTCTTTTCTTAATTTACTCAGTAGCGGCTCGTGGGTATAAAAATAGGTGAAGGTTTTTTTTTAAATTGCGCCGCAAGCGAAATTTTTTTTGGCACATTCACCATTTTGTCAACATTTTTTAAATCATTATTTGAAAAATTTTTGGTGTATTCACCATTTTGTCAACATTTTTTTTTGTTATTATTTATACACTAATACCTATATATACCTTTTCCTTTTAGTTTGGGCTAAAACGCATTAAGTAAAAAGAGATACAAACAGTTTTCGATAAACACATTATTTTGCATTCCAGTGAAAATATAATAAACACTATATACAGTATACAGTGTTCACCATAAAGTTGGATCAATATGGACGTTTTTTTATATTAGAGTTTTAAAAAATCTTTTTGTGGCAATCACTTCTGCTTTGAAAAAACAACTTAAAATGCACGTCAAAGTTGACAGGTAACATCTGGGAGCTGTCAAAAAACGACAAAATATTTAAGAGAAATTTTTAAAAATTGGTTAAACTATTATTATTTTAAAAAAAGTAACAAACAAAATTATGTTTCAACTTTGACTTGGTGCATTTTAAGTTGTTTTTAAAGCAGAATTGATTTCCACAAAAAGTTTTTTTAACTCTAATACCAAAAAAAACGTCCATAGGTATGGATTCAACATTATGGCGGACACTGTAAAGCTGTAATTATTGAATGGCTTCCCCGAAAAACGTTGTAACCGACATTTGTTTCAAAATGGAAAAAGGTTGTAATTTTCATATAACGTTTTTTCCTCGGTTTTTCACTAAATTTCGATATTGAAAAAATTATTGATTACAACCGAGGAGCCTTCAATTATTATTCAATTATTACATTAATTATTATTACATTAATTATTATTACATCGCTTACTAAGCAATATTAACCAAAATAAATTTGACGTATTTATATTACTAACCTTACTAATTTTTGTAAATCAGCTCAATTCTTCTGTTCTTTATTGATGCAAACTTATCAGTAATATCGTCATAAAACGGATTTTCACTCATAAGTTCATTTAAAAGTTCTTTATGAAGAAAATTAACAGGTTAAATCAACAAAAACCATTAACAAACAACAATAAATAATCAAAACAACTTTACAGTCTTTACACAGTTAATTACTCGCCCAAGTAGCCGAATATTAGCATAAAGGAAGACGAAGCGAACTGCCCAAAAACTAATTCACATCGGTCGCCGATAAAAATTTCGGGGCGGGGGATTTACATGCTGCCGCTAGGTTGATGTCACGTTACCATGGAAACCGTGCAGCTGCTTGGCTCACAAATATTTTCACTTCACTTGTGGCTTCGTCGAAAAATAGGCGCGTGCGGGCCAAAAATGCTACTTTTTCAGCCGGAATTAACGATGCGGTGGACCTATTATGCAGAGGTCCGCCCGGAAAAAAAATAATTTATAAAAAATTACCATTTTATTATTTAGATACATCGATACATATAAATATCTGGTAATGGTGTGGATCCGGTGGCTGACCTTGAAACGAGTTTCTGCTGCATATAGTCACAGATACTACGCATGCGCACATCGTCGATGTTGCCAGATTGCAGGTTATTTTGGAATTATTTTCAGACGAAAACAAATATTGTATTTTTCAGCGTTTTTTGGTCAATGTATACCGTATGATCGAAAAAAAACGGCATCCATTTGGCTGCGAAATGAGGATCGATGACATTTTCCATATAAAATGAAAACGATCTTCATTTCATAGTCATCGCTGACGCCACTTTTTTCGATCATACGATATTATTTTGGTATTATTTTAATATTCACACAATACGTGAACGCTTATTATGTGTTTTCATAGTCAATAAAATTAAATAGAAATAAAACTCTAATCTAATTGCTCTAGATTTATTATACTACGTTTAAAAAGTGCTTTATTAAAAATTCGCAAAATTAAGGGATGTGTCCAAGTTTCTTCTTTTTTTGAATTTTTAAATGCTGTAGCACCATATCATGTTCATAATAGATTTTATAACATTCCATTAAAACTACGTAGGCCTTAAAAAGGTCTCCGTAATTATAACTGTAGAGTGAGCAGTATTAATAGGTATCTTATTTTGTATCTGCTTATATTGCATTAATTTTTCTGTAACAAGATTTTTCTATCTTACACCTAATTTATGTGATTTTCTTATTAGCATATAATATGATCTATAAACAATATTTTTCCTAATGGAAAGGATTTGCAGGTATTAAGATATCTTATCATTTATTCTCCACACCACAAAGTATAATATGTAGTAGAGGTATTAAGACATAAAAATTATAAGAAATATCTTAATATAAATCACAAACTAACTTAAGTTTTAAGTTAGTCTAATAAGATCAGAAATGAATCTTCACCATATTATCAAGATATTGGTATTATATAGGAAAGAAATTACAGTAAATTAAGAAAAGAATATACAGGATATTAAGTACACACAGTAACAGGAAAACAGTAACAGAAAAAGATAAAGCATAAAACTTATTTTAATCCTATCAGCATTCTTCGATAAAATATATACCTACAATGGCTGCAATAAATGTGTCATATTGATGATACAAAATAATTCTAATAGGTTTAAAACTAATAAGAAAAAATCCGTAAATGATAATTTTTAATTATAATGTAAATATATAAATAAATATATTATTATTACATTATTATATATTACTTAGAACTCCGATTACAATTATAATACCTTAACTTCACATTATCTTTCTTACCTTAATTTTTGATATCAAGATAAATCTGAAATTATAAAATTAATTGTAGAATTTGAAATATTTTTATTACTGATTAACAGTCAAAAAACATTTGTTTTTGACTAAAAATAATTCGAAAATAAACTGCAATGTGGCAACATCGACGATGTGCGCTTGCGTAGAATCGATGATCAAATGCAGCAAATATGGGCTTCAAGGTCAGCCACCGGATCCACACCTTTACCAAATATCTTAAACTAAATTAATATTTTAAGCAGTAAAGTTTTTTCTTTAATTTGAGTATTTTTTTCGGTAAAGTGCCCCTTCACCTACTGCACCTGACAAGCCGCCACTGAATTTACTGTAATTTCTGTCGGTAATGCCAAAATCTTGATAATATGGTGAAGGTTTTCATTTTTGATCTTATTAGATTTATACACAGACCAACTTAAGACTTAAGTTAGTTTGTGATTTATATTAAGATATTTCTTATAATTTTTTTAAGTCATAATACCGTATGATCGAGAAAAAACGGCGTCAGCGATGGCTATGGAATGAAGATCGCTGTCATTTTATATGTAAATTTATATGGGAAATGTCATCAATGTTCATTTCCAGCCAGCTGGACGCCGTTTTTTTCGATCATACGGTACCTACTATCCATATTATGCTGTGGAGAATAAATGTTAAGATATCTTAATACTTGCAAATCCTTCCATTAGGAAAAATATTGTGTATAAATCATATATGCTAAAAAAAATTAGGTGTAAGAATAGAAAAATTTTAAGGTTGCAAAAAATTAATAGGCCAGTCAAATAAGATCAATTATAGGGGTCACTTGGAAATAAGTGTTGGAAAGCTAATTATGGTTTTGATTTGTTCAGTTGGCATGAAAGATGGGTATCCTAGTTTTGCACGGTTGCTCGACCGCCGCTTGACTCAGGAGGACCAAAAGAAAGGTAAAATTCTTGGACTTTTTTCAGATTTTTGCTTATAGTTCCGAAACGTTGCGTTCTAGCCAATATTTTACTATTACAAAAATTAAAGACCATTCAATTCTGCGTATAATAAGTATCAATTTGTTCAATTCGGTCTAGTGGTATGGCAGAAATCGAAAGATTAAGAATGGATATATAAGTCTGAAGAAAGTCCAAGAATTTTACCATCTTTTGGTCCTCCTGAGTCGAGGACGATCGAGCAACCGTGCAAAACTAGGATACCTACTCATCTTTCATGTCAACTGAACAAATCAAGACCATAATTAGCTTTCCAATACCTTTTTCCAAGTGAACCCTCTAATTTGATTGGCCTATAATGCAATATACGTATAAGCAGAATTAAACAAGGTAGCTATTAATATTGATGAATCTACATTTATAATTATGGGGGCCTTTTTAAGGCCTACGTAGTTTTAATGGAATGTTATAAAACCTAATATGAACATACTATGGAGCTACAGCATTTAAAAATTAAAAAAAAGAAACTGGGTCACATCCCTTTTAATTTTCCGAATTTTTAATAAAGCACATTTTAAACGTAGCATAATAATCTAGAGCAATTAGACTAATTATATCAATCTAGAGTTTTATTTCTATTTAATTTTATTGACTATGAAAATACATAATAAGCGTTTACGTATTATTGTGTGAAATATTAAAATAATAATACCAAAATAATACCGTACAATCGAAAAAAAAATGGCGTTAGCGATGACTATGAAATGAAGATCGCTGTCATTGTATATGTAAATTTATATGGGAAATCCGCCGTTTTTTCGATCATATACAGGATGGCGCACTTCATTCGCCTCGGTTGATTATACGAAAACGGAAAGGTGTAGAAACAAAATTTTTTATGGGTATATGTAGAGAGGCAATGTGCATAATTTAAAATTATTTTCAAATGTACAGGGTGTGTCAGAACTAAAGATCCATACCAAAGTTATATTTTTAACATTTTAAAAACATAATTTCTTGATAATATGGCAATATAGGTAGTACATTAAATTTACAATAAGGTAAAGAAAATCCAGAAAAGATCCAGTGGTTCTCAAAATTTTAGGAAAAAATTATTTTTGGAAATTTTCGAAATGTCGTGAATTAACTGGGTTATTTTGAATTTATTTGATATTGGAAATTGGTAAAGAGAAAATATGTTTCTTTTATCGAGATCTACCAGCACTGAAAATACATGTACTTATTTAAAATTCACCTTGTATATGTCTCAAATCTCAAATACAGGGTGTCCCAGAAATGAGTGCAAGTATTTTAAGGGGTGGTGGATCTGGTCAAAAGAAACATTTTTTCTCTTTACCGTTTTTCAAATAAGTCCAAAATAACCAAGTTATTTTACTTTAAAAATTTCTAAAAAAAATGATTTTTTGCTAAAATTTTGGGAACCACTGGATCTTTTCTGGATTTTCTTTCATGTAAATTTAAGCTACTACCTATGTTGCCATATTATCAAGAAATTATTTTTTTAACTTAAAACTAAAAAAATTTCTAAATTTTTTTTCAAAAAATTTCAAATTTTAATTTTTTTTTTCGCAAAAAAATATAATTTATTATTTATTTTTCGATACTACGGCTTTTGTTCAATTTTTGAATTTTTCGAAAATGGTTAAATTCAAAGAATAAATAATTTAAGTGTATAGTTTTTATAGATACTTGTTTTTCTAGAACTAAAAACAGAACGAAAAAAAATAAGTATCGGCTATTATAGAAAGCGTTCCTTTTTGTAAAATATAAATTTAAAGAAATGGAACTTGGGAATTATTTAATAGATTAAAAAAATCAAATATTTAAATGTTTTCATAAAGTAATAAATTGTATCTTGTTATCATGTTGTGACATAATCTGATAATGTGATCAAAAAGTTTATTGGTCAAATGTACGATTGTACAGGGTGGCTCGAATTCGACGCTCATCATTGGGATTTCGAAAACCGTAAGAGATACAGGATCGGTTAAATGGAGGCAAAGTTGCGCAATTTGATGCTCAATAAAATGCCGTATTGCATTTTTATTTTTTATTTATTTTTTTTGCATAAAATATTCTGGTGATGGAATTTTCTGTACGAAACGTCGGCAAATAACAAAGTGACTATAGATATATAGTGTTTTAAGAGTGATGAAAGGATTTAATTAAATTGAAAAAAAAAATCAGGTCCGTATTTAAAAAAATTAAGTTGATGATGGTCGCCAGAAGCCGAAACGTCAGAGTCAATATTTCACACAGAGTTATAGAGCAGAAAAAGTGGCAATGAAAATGTGTTTTTCATTTTAAGTTATCTTAACAAATAAAGCCAAGAAACAATAGAAAACAAAATTGAAAATTCCGTTTTTTTTTTCGAATATATTCGGAAGTATTCGGAATTTTTCAAAATGCAATACGGCATTTTATTGAGCATCAAATTGCGCAACTTTGTCTCCATTTAACCGATCCTGTATCTCTTATGGTTTCCGAAATCCCAATGATGAGCGTCGAATTCGAGCCACCCTGTACTGTGAAGATGAAAGAAAAACAATTAGTATGAGAATAAATTACATTCTGATTACATTAGATTTGTTGTCAAAAACAATAATCAAACCGCGCTTGATCGTAAAACTTTGATAATTATAGTGTACAGGGTGTACAGTACCTATTAAGGCTAAAACCGGCTAGAACTGCAATAATGCACTTTATAAAAGGTCTAGAGGGTGAGTACCTGTGACTAACATACTTATTATTTGTGTAGGATGAAATTAGTAATTAAAATTTGCAGCTATCTTTATTGCATATTTTAATACTCTTCTGGTATTTCTGAAATATCAGATATATTTTATAACTAGAATAGACTAGGTATAAAGATAAATAAGATTATGAATATAATTAAGTATCTAAACCAACTTGATAATAAAAAACTTTATTACAGATATAATATTTTTAACAATTGTACCTACTATCAGTGACATAACTAAAGTAAATGCGGAAATAAATGACTACAAGGAAAAATTTCTGATACTTAAAAAAATATTTTCAAGACTTAGTAAAATGAAAAAATTATGATCTTTTCTTGCGGTGTCCTTTTCCATTTTGCTTCATTAACTGTATATTTTCATCCTCAGCGTTATAATTAACATTCCATATATTAAGTTTCGATGGTATATATACCAATCCAATTAAAGTTATTACATTTAAAATACACGGAAACGTAACAGACGGAATTAAATTTACAGTTTTAAAGTAGAACGTCTCATTTAAATATAGTGCAATTGCAATACCTAAAGACCACTTTCCTAAGTCGACTACAGGTTTATAATGGATATAAACAGCAGAATATATTAATACAAGTGCTTTTAAAAAGGCAAACATGCCCACTATTCGAGACGTAGTAAATTCTTCATCGTTGTAATCTATAACAGATTTAGTTAAAAAAGACTTTTTTTCAATAAAGCTTTTAGCAGTGGTTCCTAAATCCATAAAAGCAACAAATCCTATCCATCCTCTAAAGGCATAAAGTATTTTGAGAGATGTATCCATATTCCATATTAACTTGAAAATGTATACTCGATCAAGACATGTTGAGAAAACAATTTTGCGCACTGTTTCTACTTTTTATTCTTACTTGCACTTTTTAAAGTTAATTTTAAAAAAATTTGCGACAAATAATTATGGAGGTTAAGTTAAAATATTAAAATCATGGAAATAATGCAGGAAATCATGTAATCAAAAATCAATGAAAATGAAAACAAAAACAATGCAGGAATTATTATATATGATTTATTTTTTTTTTTCCTATTTTTGGCCACTTGTCTATTACGACATTCAGCCAGCTTATTTCTTTTAATTAGCGTTTAAAATTGGACAAATACAGACTCACACACACATTTAACACCCATGGTACAAAGAATACAAGGTATGATCGATAGCGGCTCCAATTTCGTTCAGTTCGCGCATACCACCTGTGACGTCACCAGGAAAATAATGAATAAATAAAAAATAAAGAAAGTTGACAGGAGATCTGCATTTTTTGGGGTTATGGTTAAGAATTGTTTATTTTTTAAGACTTTTAGTTCGTTTAATTTAACAATTACTGATAAAACCAGCAGTTCCAAAATATATTTAAAAATAATAATTATCTATTAACATGGATTTGGACGATGGGTAAGAATATCTAAATTTATTTCTATATTCGGTATAAAATTGTTTATTAGGTTTTTAGTTTGCGATGTTTATGGTAAATAATTTTCGACGAGTGCCTGAATTCACATGAGGACAGAGTTGAGGATATCTATGGAAAAGTAACCACAAGAGGAATTGTTACATCATTTAAAAAATGTTGGGAAGTTTATTGTTTCACATCGAAAAGTAGAAAATGCCAATGCAGATGAACGTATTGTAATTGTGATAGATGTAATTCTAAGGGTGAAGTTTATTATAATTAGTGGAAGTAATACCAAGGGTGAAATTTATTATAATTAGTGACCTGTGCTTCTTTTTATATGTAGATGTTTCTGGTTTTTTAGAATAAATCGGTTGAACGACACCCAAAATTTAAAGGAAGTATTTGCATACCCAGAATATGCCCATCAAGGATTATATAGCTCAAATTTCCTTTAATGGTAGGCAATTATTCAATGCAAATTAACTTTTTAAGTGACTGAAATATTAAATAGTTTACAATATGGTATATCACTAAAAATATATTACTTTTAGGTACAATTAGGGCCCGATACATTTCAAAAAGTAGAATATTATTTTATATTAAATGTTGTACTAACAATCAATTTATATTAATAACGGAGATTAAAAAATAACGGAATAAATAGTTCTTTCTTTTTATACTACAAAATAAACTATAGAATACAACAGTATTTAAAAAAATAAATAAAAAGTTATGTCCCGGCCGAGATTCGAACTCTTTCTCGCTTCCAGCCCAACTCCTTTACGCACTGCTCCACAGTAACTTGCTTAGCGATAATTCAATGACGGTATATAAACAAAAAAACAGGTTTATAACAATATCTTGACGATTTGAACTGGCGCGCGGAGCGTGCTGACCAATAGCGCCTGTTATCACCTGTGACGTAGCGACCAACCTGCGCAATATCATACCTTGTATTCTTTGTACCATGTTTAACACCCATGTCCGAGGTCGGAATCGAACCGGCGACCTTGCGTCTACTAGAAAGCGACGCAATCATTTCGACCACAAGGCCGACATATGATTTATTGTTTCTGCTATGATTCCTCATATATAATTATTTAACTCCAACCAACTCTAACCAAACATTTTTGAAATTTTTGAATATAATTTTTGACAGGATGACAGGATTCAGAGAATTCATACAGGATTTATTATTTATTTTGTTTAAAGCATTTAAAGCAGGTACTCTGTTTAAAGTGACATCAAATATTTGAGTAAAGTGCAATACAATAAATTATTTAAGGTTTTTCGTAAATGGATTTGAAGACAAAAAAGGTAGGTAAAGGTATTCTAAAATTAGGTAGTAAAATATTTGTGTCAGTCTTTTATATTTAGCAACTAGACTAGAAGATACTTTAATATCTTTTTATTTTATAAAGTAATCCTGCCAAAAATGTTTTTTTATAGAAATTTATGAAATAAAAAAGATATTGCCGTTGATTATACCAGATCAGTATTTAAGTACCTATATTATAATTAATTTTCTATAAATTAATAAACAATCTAAATATATATAGTTTTATTAAGGTTTAGAAAGGAGTAAAAATATAAATAATGTCTAATTAATTTTTTGGATCGTTTCCTATTATGATATGAAATTTGTTAAATATGTACTGGTTTGACTTGGGTTTGACTATAGTATGACATCTTGCCACAGGCAGAGCACTAGATAGCCACTTACATTTCATATTTAAAAGGTCTACCACAATATAAATACCGAAAATATTCACTGCCTCCTGGACTATATGTAAAATTATATGGGGAATGTCATCGATGTTCATGTCTAAGCCAGCTGGATGCTGATTTTTTTTAGATCATACGGTATATTAAAGTATAGGTGGATATTAAGGTTTTTGTAGAATGTTTAGGAGGGAAGTTAATCACCGCGACCTTATAGATCTATTGATATTAAGGTTGCAATTAAGGTCTTTACAACGCGCGTTTTTTACGCAAAAATCAAGCATCAAAATTATTCAGGAATGAAATTACCAAGAATGATGTAATTGAGAATTTCTACATTGGATCTATCCTACCTTCTCTTTCTTCACGGTAACGGCTTTACAGACTTAAGCATAACTTTACTATCAAATCAATAATATTACTTGCTGTTGCATATTAGTAGAATTAGAAATAATTTTGCGAATTAGTCAACCATCTATTTGGAAACTGATTTGTTAGCTACATTTCATATGATTATTTCTTTTTTATTTCAGTTGCGGTAGTAATCTTTAGCACTAGTCATTCATGAGGTAACCTTCATCTATCTTTGTTCTTACCCAGCGATGGCTGGCGTTATACCTAAAAAATCTGTTTCGGGGAAAAGTGGTAGAAAACAATGGAGTTTACATGGTAATTATATATTTTTTTTTCGAAGTTATCAGTAATAATTACATCTTATGCTGTAAATATTAGGTGCTCAAAGAAGTGCTCTAAAACACCTTCGTAGTCAATTAGCGTCTGATGGATGCCCAGAATCCCAAGTAGTTCTTGCTAAACAATTGCTGTATGAAGAATGTGGTAAGTTTAAAAATATGTCTATACATACTAAGGGCTGGCAAAGGTTAGTTTTGGGTCGAGATTTCCGTATGTCAGAAGAGCACAATGCTTTTATAATGTACTGAACAAAGAGAGAACAGTAAAAACGTTGCCAAACGTATGAAATAAACCTAGAATCTGTGCACATTGCTAAGAGACGTGGAAGGGGATTCAGCAGATTCGTCGCAATCAACCGGTCGACCCAAACAATCAGTACCTACTTAAAATTCTAGAGAAGGGTGTATATCATGCGTTCAGCTTTACGATTTAATTACGTCTCGTGATTAACGAGTGGTTAATAAATAAATAATAATTAAGTTACACGATTGCCGAAAATTGTTATGCACTAAAAGTAAATGAACGGTTTTTTTTCAATTTTTGAATGAAAAAAAAACAAGCCTATCGAATTTTTCTCATTTAAACATCTTGTAAAAGATCCAAACTTCAAAACGAAACAAAGTTTCAATATCTAAAGTTGTTTTTGAGTTATCGCGTGTTATATGTTAAAAAGTTGAGTTTTTCAATTATCGCGATTACTGACGTTTTCTCGTTATAAAATATATGGCTACCCTGACGATATCCTTATAATTCCATTTCAGATGCTGAGAAACATATCTAATGATTTTATCTAGTTATCTTTTCCAAAAAAAAGTCTTAAAAATAAGCGGTTTGCGATCGTGATTTTACTTTACTTGATGGAGAATGGCGTACCGGAGAAATGTGACAACGCCGCAACAGCACACCGTCGCATTTCTCTTACTCCGACTTAATTACTGTCCTTCATTCTCGCAGTTGTGCGTTGTGCAGCTCTGAACTCTCCAAGAACGCGATACTCTCCCTCCATTCAATTGAGTCGTAAAGTTCAGACATATTCCGCGCCGAGATCCCTTTTCCCCTCGAGCCGCCTCGAGCACCTTCCTATAAATTAGTGCTCGGAGTTCCCAGCTATTTAAGTGAGGTTAAGAATAATGATTGACTGTTGACCACTTTTAATGGTTCCCGATTGAAAAATTATGGAGATATGGAGAAATCAATATCCACTTTATCCATCTTAAATGGGATTAACTTTTTAAAGTTTGACAGTGTTTTCAACTTGACAATTGACATGTGTGGTTTCAAATTTTCGCACCAGTCTATCGCGCACAGCTCCTTTCAGAACCGTTTTCGAGTAGCCCAGGCTTAAAGATCTGGAATTTGAAATTCGTGAATGGAGGACAGTAAATAAGATCCTTATGCGATTTACTTCCACACATGTAAATAGATAGATAGATAGATAGATATTCATTTATTTGTTCCGATTAACCAAAAGTTACAAGAGCCCGCAAGCATGGAACATTGTGAAAATAGCAAAAAACAGAGCTTAAGACTTACGAGGATGGTCTGAAAAGTTTCCGACCTCAACGTGAAGATAGCAGCACTCGTAGATAAAAGCTAGTGAATTTTCATTATTCATCTGTTGACAGTTATTCACCAAAATTTCAGCCATTTTGGATGCGCAGTTGTTATGTAACAGTCGTTTGAGTGAGTTGATGTGAGTGTTTTTGTGAAAATGGACAAAATCGAGCATCGAGCTATCATTAAATATCTGGTTTTGAAAGCCAATACGCCTACACAAATTAAACATGAGTTGGATTCTGAGTATGGGGACTCTGCATCATCATTTAATACAGTAAAAAGGAGACGATGAACATTAGGGACGTCCAAAAACTGCAACTACCGACGATAACATCGCCAAAGTTCACCAAATGGTGCTAGACGACCGCCGAATTAATGTCAGAAAGATAGCAGAGGTTATGAACATATCAAAAGAACGTGTTTGTCACATATTAAATCAAGATTTAGGCATGAGAAAGCTGTCCGCGCGTTACACCAAAAGCGTGTTCGAAAGAACATTTCCAACACTATGTTGGCGCAATTTAGGCGTAATAAATCCGAGTTTTGGCAGCACCGGATCTACAATTTTTTATTACCAGGGCAAAAAAATGATAGTAGCGCCCCCTCTCTTCAGCGTTTGCAATAAATTAATTTAAAAAACTTGCAAATATCTAGATATAGGTAGGCATTTTTCGTAGGCGGGACAGAATGAGCCCTTAAGGTTGATTCTCACTATACCTTCCGTTTCCATTCCATATCCGTTCCGTATTTTTTATTGTGTTGACGCTATACGTAAGCTTCCGTTCCGTATCAGTTCCATACTTTTTATTGTACAATTTATATCATTAGGAAAGTTTTATTTTAAACATTTGTATCTTTTGAAAAAGGTAATAGATTTAATTAAGAAGTGAAAGAATAAATAAATATCAGCATATTGTTAACAGAGCTGGTACAAATGTAAGAACCTGACAACGCTGTTTCCGATACGCTTCAGTCCGTCCGCTAAAAAAATGTATGGAAGGAAAGGATATGGAACGGAAGGGAAACGGAACGGATAGTGTGCATTGTCCTATTCATTTACATAATATAATATTTTATGTAAACGGAAGGGAGCTGATATGGAACGTATATAGTGAGAATCAACCTTTAAGCTTCATTCAAAACCTCCGAATTAGTGGAATAAATTAGTGGTTTCAATTAGCGAAGAAGTTTGTTCCTTTAATTTCAATGTAAGCATTCAGAACGTCTAAATTAGTGGTAGTCATTTTAAATTAGTAGAAAAAGTAAACAAACTTTTGACTTTTCCACTAATTATACTTCAAATTTTGCGGGAAATGTCATTTTGGCCATTGATTAGCATCCGTCAAGAGAAATCGTGGTTAGAAATCAAAAGTTTATTGTTTTATAAGCTAAATATTTGGCTTTCTTTATGGATACAACTGACTACCGCAAGCTGTTGCTAGGATATTCTATTAATTTTAATTGTGTTTTTTAAACATTGTGAATGATCGTAAAGTAAAAAGTATAAAGTGTAATTAGTGAAACCGCTAATTTATTCCACTAACTGCGAGGTTCTGAATAAAACTTTATAATGTGTTCAAAAACTAACTGGGCGTTTTAAAATAAAATGAATACTTGATAGAAGAACGTAAGGTGTATACTAGGCGCTTTGTAGAGCAATTTTATTGATTTTCAACCATATTATATTATGATTTTGGCGCCCCCTGACACTGGCGCCCGAGGCAGGTGCCCCGAGTTTTGGCGTCGATTGATTACTGTAGATGAGATACACCACTATACACCAGAAACAAAAATACATTCCAAACAGTGGACGGCAAAGGGCAACCGGCTCCAAAAAAGTAAAAACTGTAATTTCGGCTGGGAAAGTGATGGCGACTGTTTTTTGGGATAGTCATGGAGTTATTTTAATTGATTATCTTCAAAAAGGAAAGACCATCACAGGAGCATACATCATTACTTGACAAGCTAAAACCAGAACTTGCGAAAAAAACGGCCACCTTTACAGAAAAAGAAAATCCTGTTTCACCAAGATAACGCACCGTCTCAAACCCATAGATAAAAGAAAATAATCTTCTATTAAGACTCAAACCTCAGCGGTTGCCATGGCGAAAATCCACGAATTACAGTTTGAACTGCTTGACCATCCGCCTTTTATTATTATAGCTTGATTTTCATGCATCCGTTGTCCGACGATACGTTGATACGATATTAATTTTATTGGTAGAATTTAAAGACTTTGATTGGTTAGAAAAAAACGCAGTTTTTAATTTTATTGCATTTTCATGCCTCCGTTTATCGGATATACGTTGGTGTTATTTTATATTTTCGTTTCCATAACGATTTTGCTATTTTAGTTATATTTTTATTATTGTTAGACTAAATTTGTCAAAAAAGTGTCAAAACGTCCGTTATCGTATGAACGGGTCCGTTGACGAGCTGAAGTAAAATATTTACGGATGAAAAGTGGCGCGAAAACGCTATGACCAATCAGAGCACCGTCGGACCAACGTACCAACGTATACGGATGCATGAAAATCAAGCTTACTCACAAAATCACGATTACAAATTTTTTACTCACGATTTTCAAATTTTCGATTTTGACTGTTCAGGTAGTTGAGAACTAACGAAATTTTAAATGGTTATTATTTTATTAACGAATTGTTATCATATATCAATTTCCGATTGTTAATATTTTTAATGAATTATTTTTATATTTTATAGAACTATGGTATTTGATTATTAAAAAAAAATATTTTTTTTAGAATTTGAATCTGAACAAAAAGAAAATGCCAAGTTAGGAGTATATTGGTTAATAAAAGCATCCGAACAGGGAAATTCAGAAGCAACACAACTATTAAAAACATGTTTAGAAACGGGGAAAGGTATAAATGAACATAATTATATTGACGTGAAAAGTTCTATCACCATGACACAGGATGAAAAAATTGTCAGAAGAGCTGCTAAAGAAATATTTGCTAGGTAATATATATTGTTATAGCTATATAAAATTATTCATAATTTTTTTTAGTTTGTCAAATGGCGGAGAATATATTACCTCTCATCAGCTTCAGAAGAAAATTCTTTCTATTGAACGGGGTGAAAGTTATTCCAAAAATAGAGAGAGAAAAGATGCAGGGGATCTAGAGACTACTTGTGAAGAAGCCAATGGAGAAATTATAAACGACTTTGACGATTTGTCTAGTGAATCGGAAGAAGAAACTAATTGGTTACAAAAATCGAATTTAAATAATGAAAAACTAACTGAAGATAAAGTTTTGTCGGCTGCTATAACATTTTCTCACGGTCATCTTCCAGTTGTTAATAATATGCTATCTTTAACCGAGCCAAATTTAAGGTCTTTAGATCACATCCCCTTTGTTTATTGGTGTATAGTTCATCCAATATTGTCTTTAAATGTGATATACTTTAAACTTATTAAGTTTTTAGGCGCAAAATCCCTTCCTTTCGCGTTTTCTAGGCTTAATATTTCTTTATTTATAATTTTAACGTATTGTCTTATAAATTTTAGAGATTTTATTTATTTTTTGCCCACACTTGTTTTTTATTTATCGTTTATAGTTATGCTCTTTACCACGCTACAAATGCTACAAATTCAAAGAGACTTGCATGAATTCTCTTTGTGGAGAGGACTATTTATTTGTTATTCAAATGGAAATTTGAACGAACATAGCTTCGAAGTGCAATTTATTTTTAATCATATTAAACCATACATTTGGTATTTTTGTAGTTTATTGATACATTATTTTTGTTATTCAATCACTTCAGTGAAAGTAGAGTCCGAGTTTACTGTAATATCGTTTTGTTTGATATTTATGACGTTATTTGGATTTTTGCCTAAACGTCGATCGAAAACAGTGTTTGATTTATTGACTCTGTTTAGTTTTGCAATAAATGTGCTTGCCAGATATCCATACGAGACTGATCCCATAGTATCTCAAGGATGGAGGTTTTTAGATCTTAACGTTCCATCGTTTCCAAGTTACGTAGTCGGTAATGGAATCGAATTTTGTATCAGTTTTCGATCTTTACTCTATTCAATTATACCCATAATTTTATCTCGAATGGCTGTAAGAGATAACTGGCGTGGTATTTATAAAGTCCTTCTACCTCATCTAGTCACTTTAAGCTGGTTACAGTATTTTGCGTTATGTTCGCATAATGCAACCACCTATGGCCTCTACCGTGCCACTCTAGCATTAGTCGGATCTGTTTTATTTTTGCCATTAGTTGGTTTAATGTCAGTTATTTTACCAGTAGCCGCCCTTTCAAAATGGCTCATCTCGTCAAATATGATCTATACCATCGGTCTATTTATCTTCTTACTTATGATATGCCTAGCAGTTTGCTACGTATGTGCTAAGACCAAATATGCCAAATATACTGCGATAGTACAAATTGTACTTATGCTTGTAACTTCCTTTGTTCTACTAAGATCGTCACAGCACGCATCCGATGTTAATATTGAATCTAAAACCTTATCGTGGGAGAATTTCGAACATTTATGTTATAAAGACTTGTGGGAAGGAAGTGAAAATAGCGTACAAGCGCAAATTAAATGCTCTGAATTAGAAAACACGCCTATTTTCTGGGAAGCGACCATTACCGACGTTAAGTTATTATCAATTCAAAATAAATACAAAAACATATTTGATAAGTTTCCCAAGTTTATCGCAGACGAATTATATTGCTTGTATGGGAAAGAAATAGCGTCTACATGTGATCAAAATGACGCAAAGCAAATTAGAAATTGTATGATTTTTCAAGAATCCGTTACAAAAAGATGTAGTTTACAAGATTATAATTCCTATACATACGAACTTACATTAAAGATGTCATCATCATATTGGAGTTTAACTCCGGTGGTACACTTAGCTCTCTCTAATGATTTTACAAATTTCACTCTCAGACTTAAAGAAAAGGATCAAGTTTGGTTTAAAGGTGTTTTGTACAATAGTAATAATAATGTTGGTAATGATGGGATATTAGGTTCTTTACATATTTACATCAAAGGTAATGAAATCGGTTGTATTTCATGTGTAGACTATGAACTAACCACTGCAAAAAGTAACCAAAGTAATGCGTTCTCATATTTTATGATTGGATTTTATGATAGCTGGAAGTTTGTTTTAAATGTTTTATTTAATCCTATATTAATATTTAGATAATGTTTTTTTTAAATAGTTTTATAATTGAAATAAATGTATATGTTAATAAATTAATATATATTTAAACATCTACTTTTTTAATTTTTACTGGATTTTTTAGAACTATTCGTTCTGGATTTACATTTTTTTAGTCTTAGTACAAAGATGGTAATATCAAATTCTGAACAAGTTTTTTTTACTTTGTTTAACATTTTGCCACCTAACCCCACTTTGTGCATTTCTAAAGAGAATTTTTGAAGTGAAACTTCTTTACGCGCGCTGGGAGTGAAAATTCAAGGCTGTGACACGACACGTGACATGACAGGCGAGAGGAAAATTAGTAACGCTTCGTCCTACGTGGGCGACATAAGCGAGCAACAACAGAGGGCGACGCGTGCAACAACAGAGGGCGATGAACTCAACTCGCGCGACATATTTCAATTGCCTGCGATGCGGCTTCAGTCGCGCGCATCTCCTACCTGGAACAGCTTCATAAGAAAACGTTTGATAAATACGCGTCGCTCGCACCGCCCGAATCGCGCGCTTTTGTCTCCTACTTAGAACGAAGCGTAAGGACAGCCAAGTCTTAGAAAAACTCGTTCGATTTAAATGAAATTTGGTATGTCAATAGATTGGACCAAGGCCAAGTTGACCGTGTACGACACGTGTCACTGTGACACTTAGTTTTGACACAAGTCGAAAATTAATGTCGTCCGATAACGACCAAATTTGGTGAGTAGGCTATGTGAGCGACGGTGCACATGCTCCCACCCTGCAAAGTTGGATACGACGTTTCGTTCTTCATCAGGGTGGGACTAAGGATTTGATATTGAAGAAATATGTGGGTCGATTTCGGCATAATCTGAGACGAGCTGCACTCGACATTTCGAACCCATTCCTATAGAGTGACGAAATTATCTAGATTTTTCTTAATTATGGGTCGATTGGAACCAAACTCGGCACGTGGATAGAGGTATCCGAATGGAGTCCACAAGCGGACAGACGGTCATTTTAATATAAATTTTGTGAAAGTGAACCAAATTATTTATTAATTTTTAATTTATCACTTTTTGACCATTTCAAACTACACTTTTTCAGACATGTCCTCTAGAACTTTTTGGTTCGTGCTGTATGGTTATTCAGATCTAAAACTATAATAAGGTCTGTGATGATGATTAATACCCTATGATTGAAAAAAACGGCGTCCAGTTGGCTTAGAAATGAACATCGATGCCATTCCCCATAATTTTGCATATAGCCATCGCTGGCGCGGTTTTTTTTTCGATCATACGGTATAACTTGATGTAGTTTATTAAGAATGTGTATTAAAGTTGTCATTTAAAAACAGTGTTGATGAAGTTATATCTCAAATTTAGGACAAGCTGTATGAAGTTTATTACACCAAAATTGCAATTGTTTTAAATAATACTGAATTGCCAAGATTCCATGGGTAAGTTTGTACATAATCCATTCAATAATACAATTTTTAAAGGTCTGAATTAAAAAATACAAAAATTAGCATATTTTATAACTTGAAGAGATATCGAAAACAAATACAATGTATAAAATCTCTAGAATAATATAATTTTAGAGATAAATTCTAGGCCACGGCATGCCGAAGCAACTCACGGCACTTTTGATACCCCTGTAACTTCATTGCGGATAAAGCAAGAATATTAATTTTCACTAATCGTGAGAACATTCTATACTATTTTACCAATATAATAATTCTACCTTAATAATTCTACCTTACAGATGGCTTGTCAAATTTCTTTACTTTCGACAGTGACTCATTGATCAGTGATCGGTCATCAAAATTCTAAGGTACTTCTAGAAGTTCCACAAACTTCAAATTTTAATTTTAGGTAGCTTTGAGCTTATAACAGAAAGAAAAAATGAAAAAACTCGAAACATCCTTATGCATCTTAAAAATACAGAGTGTCCCAGAAATAAGTGCAAGTATTTTAACTGGTAGTATAGTTCAACCCCAGAAACACGCCTATGAGGTTTTTTCCGCGAAAAAAAAATAAAAATTCGAAATTTTTTGAAAAATTTTTTGGATTTTTTTTTAGTATTTAGTTAAAAACATAATTTCTTGATAATATAGCAACATAGGTATTAGATTAAATTTATAAGAAAAAAAATCCATAAAAGATCCAGTGATTTTCAAAATTTTAGCAAAAAGCATTTTTTGGAAATTTTCAAAGTAAAATAACTCCTTTAATTTAAAAAAAACGATAAAGAGAAAATGGTTCGTTTATAGAGATCTACCACCCCTTAAAATACTTGCACTTATTTCTGGGACACCCTGTATACAGGTTGTTAATTTGTTTATTATTCGCGGCAAGAGTTTTATGGTTGAAATATGGCAACCTCGGCCCGCTCGTCGATGACGACTAGTGATGGGCAAAACTGTTATTTTTAGATAACAGTTGAAACTGTTATAGTTATTTATAAAAAACAGCTTAAAATAACAGCTTAAAAACAACAGGTTTCTTTATTTTATTGCTAAATATCTGAAAGAATATGAGGCGATCACCGCCAGGCGTATTAACGCAGTTGCAACAATGACGTGCTCGGTGGTAGTATTTCCAGGGTGTCATAACATTTCTAAATATCGATTGTTATCTAAAATACCTCTCTAAAAACGGGGGTTGTTTACAAATAAGCGCTGTTTACAAATTGCGATATAAAAAAGCCAAAATGCCGCCACTCGTCTATATCTATAAATTCCGATCTACCTACGCCCTACCCCTCGATCCGCGTAGATTCTGAATTGCGTAGCAGTGTACAGGGTGCATCTCACTCGACGGGCGAGAAGCTCTTCGTTATGATTTTACCATTTGCGGTCAAAAAATAGCAATATAAGAAAATGTGTAGTATATTCTTCATAAGTAAACCAACTACACACTAGAGTTCGAATTAATTTTACACTTAAACTAGCATGTACAGTTTGACAAATATAGGAAGAGACTTGGGGATAGCACCGGTCGCGCACACGATAGAGAGAGAACGCATTCGGCGGAAGAGAGATGCAGTTACGCTACGAAAAATCTGATTGAAGCAAATTTGTGGGATGTCCACTGCGCATCGGGGGGCGTCTCTTATTTTATATTTCTCACGTCTCTAGCTATACTTGTTAAGTTGTACCCGCGACTTCGTTCGCATCGAATTATTAATTTGTAATGGTGATGATAAAGCAAAGCAAGAATTTCCATTAACATACAAACTGGATAAAATTTTCTCACATTTGCCAAAAATATGCTTTAAACGTCGAGCAGTTTAAGCAGAATCGTGGTTAATCAATTACTCAACTTTTTGGAACACCCTGTATTATTTTTTAAAAAATTTCAAAATATGTAAAAAAACAAAATAAATTATGCGTGTCCAATCGTTTTCCCGAAAGACTAACCGTTTTTTAAATAATAAATATTGTAATATTTGAGGGGCGTTTTCACCCTCTTGGAATTTGAGATTCGAGAAACCCCTCCTTATCGCACCTCTACACCCCACAGTCAATCCGTTTACCAAAAATCAGCTTTAAACGTCAAGCAGTTTAAGCAGAATAGTGATTACTCAGTGGTCATATTTTATGAAACACCCTGTATATATTTTGTAAAAATCTCAAAATATGTAAAACAACAAAATAAAATATACGTGTTTAAGAGTTTTTTCGAAAAACTCACCAGTTTTTAAATAAAAAATATTCTAATATTTGAGGGTGGTTTCACCCCCTTAGAATTTGAGTTTCGAAAAATCCCTTCTTATCGCACCTCTACACCCTAAAGTCAATCCGTTTTCCAAAAATCAGCTTTTTACGTCAAGGGCTTTAAGCAGGATCGTGATTAATCAATGACCAGATTTTTCAAAACACCCTGTATACATTTTTAAAAAATCTTAAAATATTATTCTGAAAATTTTTCAGAATAAATAAATACTTAAATATTGAAACTTAATAACAAAGTATTGAAACATACAGCGCCATAATATCTCGACCTCCGCCCGTTATGCTCGTAACAGGTTGAAAAACAATATGTATCTAAAACAACTGATGCGTTATTCTCCAACCTGTTTCAAACCTCCGATTATCTCGAACGCCGTTCTGTTATGCTCGTAACAGGTAAAAAAACAACATAGCTAAAACAACTGATGCGTTATTCTCCAACCCGTTGCGAGCCTCCATCGACAATCGACCGATGCAGCAGCGCTCCTTTCCCACTCCTGTTATCTCGACAGCCAGGCGTTATGCCCGCAACTGTTTCAAAAAAGCTGCTTCTTTTATATCCTATTATTTTTAAGCTGTTGTCAGCCCAACACGACGCGCCGCGCCGTAGCGCATACCCCACTCCGTTGTCCGTTGTATCTCGCCGCCTGTATCGATGGTTGTCGAAATAATAGGTTTTCCATCCATACTAGTTGTTTTTTGGAATTGCTTCGAGCAGCATCGAATTTCGTGGCGGTGCAGGCGCCGACTTCGTTTCACGAACACTCGATCTCTGCGTGTCGTTATTTTATATCTGTTATTTTTTAAAAGCAGTAACGGTTGCGTTATGTTATTTCTAAATAATTGTTATAAAATAACAGATAGTTAAATAACAACCCATCACTAATGACGACGGGACGGGACGAGTCGGCAGAAACATCAATAATGCATGCGTTCTCAATAGGCAGTGTTGCCATTCTGTTCCCTTATAAGTAACTGTCGAGTTAATAACCTGTATAAGAGATAGGTATAGGTTAGTATAATAGAGAAATTATGAGATATGAGAGTAGTTTCCAAAAATGTAATAATATACTGGGTGTTCCATTTAAAATAACAAAGATGCTACCGCTTTTCAAATGACCCGGCAACACGGTAACGCTGATAATATTTTAGGTAGATAGAGCAGTTGTTTTTATATAAAAATCCAAATTTTCAAAACAATCCTGTCATCGGTCCTCCTATTACTATCGCCGGAAAGTCGGTTACTGGTAGCGGCTAGCAAGACTTAGCACGGCACTATAATAATTATAAAATTGCGCGGCACTATAATAATTATAAAAGAATAATTTACCATTTCGATTATTAAGTAAATCTAAACCGTGCAGAGTAAGAAAGTATTTTAATTATAATATATTATTATTTATTTTGGGACACTTCCTAGTAGTACATCCTTCCATCCAAAAACTCCATATTTATAATGTTTAAAGATCTAATGATTAACGAAATATTTTTAAAATGTGCGTTATAATCCAGTTGCCGCATATTTTGTATAAAAAAATCGTTTAACTTAAATTTAATAGTGAGCCACCCTGTACAGAGTTGGTCAAATTCGACGCTTTTAAAGGGAAACACCCCTTTCTATAGAAGATAAACAAAAACTAATATCGGTGTCTGGAGCTCAATTTTTGTCAAAAACATGATGGTGAAAACCGCTCATCGATAACTGTTACCTTTTATGAGTTACGGGGTGTTTTTCAAAAATGTGCATTTTTAACAAGTCGCTATAACTTTTTTGCTACGGAAAATTTTGTATTTTTATGAAAACACTTTTAAAGCACCATTTTACGTAGAATTTAATGGTTTAAGTATAATTTTTTTAAAATTAATAGTTTAAGAGATATCAACAGAAAAGTTGTTTTTTTATATGGGACAGACTGTATATTTTTAATTAAATGAAAAGAACTTAAATTATCTTTCCAAAAATATGGCACACTTGATATTTTGTTATAGTCCTCTCCAAAATACAGAATTTTTATAAGTTCGCCACTTTTAACTAGTAGGCTTTGGACCCCTCTGCCCCTAATGGAACTCAAAAACATATTTTTCCAGCAAGATGAGGCACCGCCTCAGAACGCTGAAAATATCAGCAAATTTTTGCAGCCAATTTCGAGAATAATAATTGAATTGCTAACCAAGATCCCAGCCGTTGGCCGTCGAAGCCCCTGAGGCCGCCGGACTTGTGCCTGTTATCCTTAGTGGATTTTTATCTTTGCGGAAGAATAACGGTTCTTATTTTAAAATTGCCCGTGTAATCTAGACAAGAATTAGAAGTATTTAGCGGTTATGCGAGGGTATCTAAGAAAACTCCCACTGAGTTAATGAATTTCGCGAGAAATGTTCAAAAACGGTCCCGTCTGGCCATAACAGAAAACGGTCGACATGTCGAACACCTGTAACAAAATCTCATGTCTTGGTTTGCTATTAATTTTTATTGCTGTGAGATATAGTTTAAATGTGTTGATGTTGTTAAATATAGTTTAAATTGGTATAAAATTCTGCATCTCTCATTGGAAATGTTATTTTCGTTTAATTGCTGCTCAGAGTTAGATTTTTTTTGCATTACAGCCGGCGCCGTTCAAAGCCTACTTATTCAAAGTGGGCGAATTTTTAAAAACTATATTTCGAAGAGGAATCGAGCAAAATATCAAGTATGCTATATTTTTGGAAAGATAAAAATTATACTTAAACCATTAAATTCTACGTAAAAGGTGCTTTGGAAATGTTTTCACAAAAATACAAAGTTTTCCATAACAAGAAAGTTACAGCGATTTGTTAAAAATGCACATTTTTGAAAAACACTCCGTAACTCCGAAACGGTAACAGATATCGATGTGTGGTGTTCACCATCATGTTTTTCATAAAAAATGAGCTCCAGACACCGATATTAGTTTTCGTCTATTTCCTGTAGAAAAGGGTGTTTTCCTTTAAAAACGTCCAATTTGACCCACCCTGTACACTGTGCTATTACTATACCTTTAGATGAACCCAAAATCTCATAGCTGTTATTAATAATTTATGACTTAAAATTACCTCACTTAAAATTTGTACGGTGTCTATGTAAATTATATTAAAACAAAGGCAATGAATTTTGTTTTGTATGTATTTCATGTAATCATTTTGCGTCAGACACAGGAAACGATTTCAGTAGTCTTGTAGGCACTCGTTCAAAATTATTGCGAACTTTTAAATATGTTGACACTTTGTAAAAATTATGTTTCAAATTAAAAGTTAAAAATATATTAACATCAATTATTATACGAATATAATTACAATCATTTAATTGAGGTGCATATAAGTATTTAAAGATATTCTCAGAAGGTGTTTAAAGCAGTTTTTGAAATTATTGTAATAATTCTAAAGGGATATTTTTTAGTTTGGTTTTGTTACTTCGCAATATGGAAGATTACGCGATTTGTGCCAGAAATCTAGTGAAGCATTATGGAAATCATGCCGTTCTCAATGATGTTTCTTTAAGTGTTGAAAAAGGCGTCATGTAAGTTAATATTTTAGCATTTTTATTTATTAGTTCAGTAAATGAAGGTTGAAACCACGGCTTAATTCGTCGACCGGGACTTTTCAGGCGGATTGGGTACATTTTGGGGAGTAGTTTTAGGGGGGCAAATTGTAACACTGTCGGTCAGGGCCGTCGCTAGACTTTTGGCCGCCCGTTGCAAATTTTTAAATTGCCCCCCTCATATCTGTATGCAATAAAAAAATTCACACATTCTTTATTAAAAAAATAGAAAATAGAAAGGTTAATGATAAATACACACATACCATATGATCATAAAAAGTGGCGTCAAATTACCTTAGAAATGGCAATCGATTAAATTTTATATGTAAAACTAGCGTGTACCAGCGACTTCGTTCGCGTTGAATTAATCATTTGTAATGGTGATGATAAAGCAAAGCAAGAATTTTCATTAACATACAAACTGGATAAAATTTTCACACATTTATGTCAGCATGAGAAAAAACAATATGGCGATATTATTATATGTATAGTTTCACCACTTTAGAATTCGAGTTTCGAAAAATCCCTTCTTATCGAACCTCTACACCCTAAAGTCAATATGTTTTCCAAAAATTAGCTTTTTACGTCAAGCGCTTTAAGCAGGATCGTGATTAAACAATGACCAGATTTTTCGAAACACCCTGTATACATTTTTAAAAAATCTTAAGATATGTAAAAACAGAATAAAATATACGTGTTTAAGCGTTTTTTCGGAAACTTGACCGTTTTTTAAATAAAAAATATTTTAATATTTGAGGGGTGGTTTCACCCTCTTGGAACTGGAATTTCGAAAAATCTTTTTTTTTTTCGATTATACGGGATTGGATACTTACAAACACCTACATTCTCGCAAATTTTTTCCTCGACACAAATGTAATTATAATGACAAAATCTCTATTTTTTATAAACTACAGGGTGTTTTATTTCAAATAGCAGGGAAAACATTATATCTAGTTTCGACCCTATTACCAAGCAATTTTGACCCTCTATACCGTCTATACAGGGTGTTTCTCAAAAGTGACTCACTCCTCTAACTTTTTTGATTTTTTTAGATAAAAAACGAGATTTAGTACGTGAGTATATGACATAAATCAGGACTGATTGACTGACGGTTCATAACGACAATTTGATTCGAAATACCAAGTGAGTGGTACCAAATTTTTCAAAAAAAAAATCTTTTTCCAAATATACTATCGAGTTACCCTCGTTCCGTTTGAAAAAATTGGGATATGATTAAAAATACGATTTGTGCATTTTTAACCGGCCAGGACAGGACACGAAAAACATTAGACGATCAAATCTATCTTTCCAAGGCTCCCTGATTAAAAATTAGTGTTTTTAACACAACCATAGCACTCTAGATTAAAATTTAAAATACGATTTTTGAGCGAAAATGTCATGTCATTGTATTCAGAGTGCCACTTTTTATCAAATAAATAAAGAAATATCGGGGTGTGATTTAAAAATCCAAAGTTGTAGTAATGAAAGTCATTATATTATGTACATAATAAATTAACAGTTGAATATGCCAATCGATCCTGATTTATGTCCTATACCAAATCTCTGAAAATAAAAAAGTTATAAGAGTGACCCAGAGTGACCCACTTTTGGCAAACATCAGATATACCAAGCAATTTAAACTATTTTATTATGTTAAGGTATAAAAGAAGACACTATGAAAAAATGCTTCCAGTTAAAAATCATCAAAAATTAGCGTTTGTATTTTTAGAGCTGTTTTATAAATATAAATATATAGAAAATTTAATCTAAAAATTGTTAGATTTTAAAAACCACCCGGTATAGATATATACAGGGTGTCCGGAAATTAATGCAACAAAATTTGGTCCTAGATTCTTGAAAAAAAATAGGTGACCCATATTTTTTTATTTTTGGCAAGTGGAAGTCCTTTTCGGATTTACAGCCTCCTGAATTTCGCCCCTAATAAGACTTTTTTTAATATCTCAGGGCCCTGTTGGGCAAAAATCACTAAATTTGGTACACGTTGTTTTACCATAAAATGACATTTTTTGATGCTATTAACTTTTTTTATTTTCATCAGTGGCGTCCCTACGGTATTTAAACTAAATATTATTGAAGAAAAAATGGTACGCCACTGTTTTTTCTACATTAGATTTGGAACAACTTTATCTATTTTTTTTCTCTTTAAACCGTTTTGGCGTAAAAAAATAAAAACCATTTTCATACATGACTAAATCGCTAAAATTTTACCGTAAATTTCAATGGCAAAATTTTTAAACGGTAAACTTGAGTTTAAAATTATTTTTTATTTTCCAAAATCTTGTTTTTATTACCTAAGTGCGAACCAAAATGTCCAAAAACCTAATTTGCCGTTTTTTAAATTTTGCTATGAAAATTTACATTAAAATTTTAGCGATTTGATCATGTATGAAAATGGTTTTTATTTTTTTACGCGAAAACAGTGCGTCGTACGAAAAAAAAGTCAAGAGATAAAGTTGTTCCAAATCCAATGTAGATTTTAAAAATAATTTTTATTTAAAAAAAAACATTGGCGTACCATTTTTTCTTCAATAATATATAGTTTAAATACCGTAGGGACGCCACTGATGAAATTAAAAAAAAGATAATATTATCAAAAAATGTCATTTTATAGTAGAACAACGTGTACCAAATTTAGGGATTTTCGTCCAACAGGGCCCTGAGATATTAAAAAAAACTCTTTTTAGGGGCGAAATTCAGGAGGCTGTAAATCCGAAAAGGGGGGCCACTTGCTAAAAATAAAAAATACGGGTCACCTATTTTTTTTTCAAGAATCTATGACCTAATTTTGTTTCATTACTTTCCGGACACCCTGCATACAGGGTGGTCCGAATTGTATTCCGGAAACTTCGGGAGCATATTCTCCAGATAAAAAGAAGTAAAAAACTTCTTATAAATGTATGTCCTAAAAGGCTTAGTTTCGGAGATACAGGGTGTAGAAGTCTCATTTTTATTTCGATTTTTTCCAAATAATTTCAGTTGAAGGAACGTCAATATTTGTATGAAAATTGGTGTCTGTTAGTTTTTTGACATGAGAAATTTGATTTTGATGTCATTACGACTCTTATTTGTAGAGGACGCCACCTACATGTGTTTTAACTGTTTTGAAGAGTAATAACTTTTTGTTCGTACCTGTATAGAACTGCTGAGTGAAAAAATATACATTTTCGTATTTTTTACGTAAAAAATGTCTCTTGATAAAAATCGTTACGAGCAACCCTTCTCGAGATAATTAGAATGGGAATAGTCAATACATGTCATTATTGACAAAAAATAAACATGTTGAGTAGATAGTCATTTGACTAAAAAGATAAATTTGGAAAATTTTTATTTTTTTAAATTAATCATAAAATTTTCTTCGAAAAAATGATGATTGATGATGGTTTGGCACAAAAACATTTCAAATTTATGATTTCCGTCTATTAACGATTTAGTCAACATGTTTAATTTATGTCAATGATGACAGGTATTGATAATTTCGATTTCAAATATCTCGAGAACTGTTACTCGTAGCGATTTTTATTAAGAGATCTTTTTTACGTTAAAAACGTCGTAAATGTATATTTTGTTTACTTAGTAATTTTATACAGGTACGGACGAAAAGTTATTACTCTTCAAACCAGTTAAAAATGTAGGTGGCGCCCTCTACAAGTAGGAGTCATATTGACATCAAAATCGAATTTCTCATATCAAAAAACTCCCAGACACCAAATTTCATCCAAATATTGATGTTACTTCAGAAATTATTTGGAAAAAATCAAAATAAAAATGAAACTTCTACACCCTGTATCTCCGAAACTAAGCATTTTAGGACATACATTTATAAGAACTTTTTTACTTACTTTTATTTGCAGAATATGCTGCTGAAGTTTCCGGAATACAGTTCGGACCACCCTGTATATAGTATAGGTTATGGTTTTGTGTTATTGGAATATTCTATCTATAATGAGCAAAAAAATGTACAGAACTGCATTTTCAAAAAATAACTAGTTATTTTTGTCTGTTGTAGTATAACTTTGGTATAAAAATATACTTGAACCCTGTTACGAAAAATGTTAAATATTTTTATAATGTGGGCTTTGATTCCGGAAAAATTGACTCCAAATGGTCGAAAAATCAGTTTTTCGCAAATATCTAACAAAATATTCAATTTACAAAACTTTTGTTGAAATAAAAAATTAATAATTTTCCTACAAATTAGAAATGATTCTTATAATGTTTTACGTAGAATTCCTAGTTTTCGAGATATTCCCCCTCGAAGATCCCTCAATTTTCTCTCCAAGTCTTAAAGCTCCGAAGATAGATTTCATAACCGTCTCATTGATTGATAGGACAAATTGTTTAATAACTGGGCTATAATTTAATATTTTTTGATGATTCAAAGTTCATTTAAAAGGTAGAATCAACAGCTATCACATTTTAGAACTTGTTTGAATTTTGTTATATTTTATAATAAGAAAAAAACGGACAAACATTCCTTGGTCTAAAAATTTTCAGATTTTTAAAAACTTATTCATATTTTCACTTATAATAGCTTATTTGTCTAGCTTTTTTGAACAGTTGCTCTTAGAGTCTCTTTAAGCAACTCAGAAAATTTGAAGAATTTCTTTATCACATTTTAATAAAAAATAACTAGGTGAGTGCCTTTTCCGCTTTTTTTTGGAATTTCCCGAAAGTATCATCAACAAAAGAAACAACTCTATGAAAAAGTTGTCAGATCATATTTTCAGCTAATAGTTCAAGATCCCAGAGCGATCTGACATAACTTATTTTCACAAGGATGAAACCTTAGGCTCTCAGTAGTGCTCTCATATGCTTTGAATACCGGCGTGTTTGGGGAGTTCGCCCTGTGACACCTTGGCAGATACCGGGTCAGAAAGATAACTAAAAATAAGAGTTACTTAACTTAAATTTGTATGGCTGATTTTTGTATAAATATTGTAGAATTACTCTGAACTAGTATCAAAAGTATCAGACACTTTCCATGGACCTGAACTTTTATCAGACGATAGCAAATCAAAAAGTGGATCTTTGATAAAGATAGAGTTTATCAAAGCCCACAAAAAATAAATGAACTTTACTTATTTTATTATCGGCCGACTATTATTTGATTGCATGTGAGCGCGGCTCCATAAGAACTAGCGATGTGTCGGTATTTGAGTAACGTGATTTTGGAGCGGTATTTTTTTTGTAACGTCGTGTCGCGCTCCGCAACGAATCAGGAACCTGTTACTGAAGAACGACGATCATAATGACGACAAAATTATAAATTATTAATAATTTGCAAATAAATTATTTATAATCACACTTGTAGTTAGCTCAAACCGTAGTAACCGCTCGAACCGTAGTAACCGTAAAGACGTGTTTAGCTCCAGCCGTCGCGATTTCGTCGGTCGCGAACAGAAGTAACTGTAACTGCTGAATTTGGTCATCGACGCTCGACCTCGGCGGCGACCTACTTCGCTCCAGCCGTCGCGCTCCTAGAGTTTTAGTTCCCTGTCGCGAACAGAAGTAACTGCTGTAACTGATTATCGACGCTCGACCTCGGCGGCCACGTACTTCGTTCCAGCAGTCGCTGAAGCGCTTCTAGGGTTTCGGTTTTGCCTGTCGCGATTTGGTCGGTTACTATTGGCGTTGGTGCTCCCGTCGCTACGTGACTTTCGAAATAGCGATTTTTGGTATGTACTAGGCATGGTATAAAATAGTGTTGTTTGAAAGAAAAAAAAAATAAAGCTTTATTGTACCAAAAGCCAAAACAGCTTCATCGACAAAGCAAAACAAAAAGCACAAAAACAAATATACAAATAATAAAAAAAAATAATAAAATAAAATGTCATACAATACAAATCAATTCCAAAAAATTTACGTCATAAAATTACAAATAAAACATATATGGACATTGCAGAACACAGGCGTATCTAGAAAATTTTACAAAAGGAAAACTGTAAATGGATAAAATAATGTTATATATCATAAAATCGAGAGTTATAAAATATTAAATATTAAATACTAGACCTTTAACCAGTGTGTGAGATGATCAAAATTTTAAAATTCAAAATTGTTCATGATTAAACATCAACAAAAAAGTCGTTTACCGCATATAGGGCTCTCTCCAGTAAGTATAATTTCAGAGCTTTGCGAAATGCAGGAAAGAATGAAAGTGACTTGATATTCGAAGGCAGATTGTACATTTTCTTGGCATTGTACAGTATTGAGCCCTTAACTAGTTCTGAGCTCGGGGTTGGCAGATAAATATCGTGCTGCGCATTCCTAAGTGGATAGTTGTGAGAAGGCCTTTCCGGAATAGAGAATATCTTGCGGATTAAGCAAACGGATTCAAAAATGAATAAGGAAGGAAGAGTCAGTATTTTGAAATTTTTAAAGAAATTCTGGCAGTGAGTTCTACTGTTTAGTCCCAATAAGTATCGAACTGCTCTCTTTTGAAGTTTGAAAATACGATCAAATTTTGTCGCGCAGCAAGTACTCCAGAATGGAAGGGCATAACGAAGATGCGACTCAAAAAGGGCATAATAGACCATTCTAGAGGTTGATGAGTTTAGTTCCTTAGAAACTGATCTTAGTGCAAAACAGGCAGACCTTAGTTTCTTTGATAAGGCTTCGATATGCAAGTCCCATTTTAACGAGTTGTCTACAACAAGTCCTAAGAATCTCACACAGTCCACGACGTCAATAGTGGTGTTATTAAGTACAAAAGGTTGTATAGTACTTTTATATGACAAAACTTTAGTTTTTGAAAGGTTGAGGCATAGGAGATTAGAATCGCACCAAGATTTAATGGTGGATATAGCACCAAGATTTAATGGTGGAATGGTGGATATAGTATTATATAGTGCCGTAACATCTGGGCCGCTCCAAGTGAAACTAGTATCGTCCGCAAAGAGGCAGATTTTACCGCTAATGTCTAGACTTGCAATGTCGTTGATAAACACCAGAAATAAAATAGGGCCAAGTACTGAACCCTGAGGGACACCACATTCTATAGGCTTACAAGAAGACATAGACGTATCAATCCTCACAAGCTGCCTTCTGTTGCCAAGATACGACTTAAGCCATTCGAGTGGCACTCCCCTGAATCCATAGTATTGCAATTTGTTAATTAAGATATTATAATTTACACAGTCGAAAGCCTTAGAGAAATCACAGAAAATTGTAGCTGTAGAGTGATTATTCAGGCTAGAGTATAGATTATTAAAAAGGTCGAACATAGCATCATTTGTGCAACTGTTACTTAGAAATCCAAATTGATGGGTAGAAAGTACTTTATATTTAAGGAGAAAAGATAGAAGCCGTTTTTTAACCAATCTTTCAATGATCTTATATAATGTGGGCAGGAGAGCACACAATTGGGCGATAGTTCGAAGCTTGATCTTTATCTCCTCCTTTATGCAGAGGAATAATTATTGCTGTCTTAAGGCAGTTTGGAAAAACTCCTTTTTGGAATGACTCATTAATTAAAATAGTAAGATAGATTAATGTGCAGTCCGGAAGTTCAGAGAACATTTTGAGAGTAAGCCCATCAGTCCCCAGATGAGAATTTATTTTTAATACTTTTAATTGTACTACGGAGCTCATCTAATGCTACGGGCGTGAAGAAGAAACTGTGTAAATTCTCATTTGCTTTAGGGAGATATGAAGGTGAATCATGGGAAGAAGTTATGGTGTTCACTAAATTTTTAGCCACATTAACAAAGTAAGTGTTTAAATCTTCAGGTGAATTAAAGACTGTACCAGACGAAGTCTCTTTAGCAACATTACCGGATTTGGCTAGCCTCCCATTATAATAAATCTCCTTGAATGGATAAAAGATGAAACGTAAAAGCAAATAAAATAAAATAAAAATATTTTATTTGCTTTTATACATTTATATAAGTTTTATTGTTTATATCTATTTTTAAGGTTAGGTTAGACCAATAAACATTTTTTTTGACAGTGGTTTGGACTTTGTTCTTGATTTTAACATTAAATATATTATATTGCAATACACATAAATATGAACCGTTCATTTTATTTAAACGAAAATTGATAAAGAAAAAAAAATAACAAGGAATGTCATCGCTTTTGTAAAAATGAAATAGATTGGCTATACACAATTATAAACTCGATATTTGGCAAATGAGTGGCGGATAAAAGTTACATTAATCTACAAATATAGATAAGTTAGATATATTTTTAGCGAGGACCGCAACACTTTGGAAGTCGGAACCTCGGTTACAAAATCGCGGTATTTTGTCGCGATATTTTTCTGGAACGGTCGCTATTGTAACGCGACTCACGTGGAACCGGTATTCCCATCACTAATAAGAACTCTATTGGTTACAAATCTGCAACTAAATAGTCGGCGACTAAGAATTGCCTGTCACCCCCAGACTTATTTTCGAATATTTCCCTTTACCGTATCCATACTAGTTAAAAACGTAAGTCAGAGAATTCAAGGTGTCTTGTTTTTCAAATTAATATTATTTTAGAAAATATGCGACAATTCTTTTGAGTAGTTTATATGCAATAAATTAATTTAATTTAATAATTGTTACTTATTATTTTAATAAAAAAGCTCATCTTATTTAAATAGAGATGCAAAAATAATCGAAAGCAGTAAGTATTTTTAAAATATTTAAATACTTTACTCGGAAACGCATGCGCAGTGGCGGATACAGAGGGGGGGCCCATGGGACCCGGCCCCCCCCTAAAATCTGTAAATTATGTTAAATATTAGGCTTTTTTGTTAAAAATGGCGTCCTAAAAGCATATTCTATATTACTTTTTATTTTGGGCCCCCCCTAAAATAAATTCCTGTATCCGCCCCTGCGCATGCGCATAGTTCTCCCGCGCTCATAGTCACGGCTGAATATTTTTTGTGTTTAGAGGATGTTTGATCATTACAATTTGTCTGACTGATAAAATATAACTTTAGCTGTCTTAATAACATAATATGTAAAAATCAGACATGTAAAAATAAGTAAAGTTCATTTATTTTTTGTGGAGCTTTGATAAAGTCTATCTTGTCAAACATCCACTTTTTGATTTGCTATCGTCTGATAATAGTTCAGGTTCATGGAAAGTGTCTGATACTTTTGATACTACTTCAGAGTAATATTCTACAATATTTATACAAAAATCAGTCATACAAATTTAAGTTAAGTAACTTAATTTAAGTTACCTTTTTCACCCTGTATCTACCAGGGTGTCACAGGGCGAACTCTTCAAACACGTCGGTATTCAAAGCGCATGAGAGCACTACTGAGAGCCTGAGCCTGAAGGTTTCATCATTGTGAAAATAAGTTATGTCAGATGCTCTGGGATCTTACTCTTTAAGGACACAATGTTCCATTTGGCGATCATGAAAATCATCTTCATGCCATATTTCGGCCAATAATGGCGAAAGAAACGTTCTTTGACCCTCTATGGCCAGATAATGACCTAACTACCTACTTCATTCATTTTAAGCTTTTATTTCAAGAAAAAAATTGTAAATTGCTTGATTTTTCGGCCATTTGGAGCCATTTTTTCACCCAAAGCCGGCCATGCACGGTTGTTACAATTTTTCCCCTAAAACTACTTCCCAAAAGGTACACAATGCGCCTAAAAAGTCATGGTTGACAAATTATGCCGAGGTTTGGGTCTTTTCGTGCCCTTACTTACTGGACTATGTTTTCTACGAACATTTTTGATAGATATGGACTTTTGGGTGCTAGTGGTTGCGGGAAAACAACCCTTTTAAATACTATTCTGGGACGAAAAAGTGTAGAGTCTGGAGATATCTGGATATTAGGAAAGAAAATAGATAAAAATGATAGTAATATACGTACAGTAAAAGTTGGATATATGCCACAGGTGAGATATTATATTATCTATATTTTAATCAATCTAATACAAAAAATGTATTGTTTTAAGGACATTGGGTTAATACAGGAATTTACTATAAGTGACACTATAAATTACTTTGGAAAAATGTATAATATGGAAGATGTAGATATTAAAAAGAATTTCGATATTTTGACAGTATTGCTGGATTTGCCTCCTAAAAGCAGGTAAATACAGGGTCTGGCCATAGTGCGGCAGGCATCTGTAGCTCCTATAATAAAAAACTTGGGAATTTTGTTTAAATGCAAACCTAAAGTTTATATGTACTAGGATGTATTTCAGGAAAATATTTTAACTTCTACAGGGTGGTTCAAAAAAGTGTGAGTGGATCGGGATGGTTTTTTTTTAAATGGAACATCCTGTATATTATTGCATTTTTGACCTACCTTCAGTTCACTTTACGTAATCTTAAGATATGAGTAAATATATTTCGATAGTTTCACAGTCTCACATTCTAAAATAAAACATATTTTTTCTTCGTTTTTTTTTAAATGGAAGACCCTGTATATTTTTTTTATAAGATATCTCCATTTTATACCCTGTATATTTTTTAAATAAGATTATAAATACAGGTGGTGAAAAATACAGTAGGGTTGGTTAATACAATAACTAACTATACTGGGTGCGTCTCAAAAGTGGCTCACCCCTATAACTTTTTTACTTTTTCAGTTAAAAACAAGATTTGGTATTTTAGTACTAGTGATGGGATAACTCGAACGAAAATTCGCTCGAGTACTCGATTATTGAAATAACCGACATCGCGCGATTATGAACGAGCGATGCAAGTGACGAGTACCAAGCGACGAACGCAACCGGTCCTAGAATGAAATAAATTGAAATCCGATTTTAATGTGACCTACTCGATAAAAAGCCGAGCGAATTTTCTACATACATTGCAGGTAGCAAATTTATACGACGCCGTATATACCGGATGCGTCTCAAAAGTGGCTCACCCCTATTACTTTTTTATTTTTTAGATAAAAAATGAGATTTGGTATGTTAGTATATGACATAAATTAGGATTTTCTGTCTTTAGTTTTCTGTCACTTCCTGTTTCACCGGAAATGACTACGATTTTTAAATGGCACCCTCGGTATTTTTTTTACTTTATTCGATAGAAAATGACATTCTAAATAGAATGACGTACTATATATCAACTTTTGACATATTCGCTTAAAAACAAATTGTATTTTAAATTTCAATCTAGAGTGTGTTAAAAACACTAATCTTTAATCAAGGAGCCTTTGAAAAATAAATTTGATCGTCTAATGTTTTTAGTGTCTTGCCCTGGCCGGCTAAAAGATGCCCAAATCGTATTTTTGATCATATCTCAAAATTTTGCAAACGGAAGGAGGGTGGATCATTAGCATATTTCGAAAAAGATTTTTTTGCAAATAATGCCAATTGTCGTTATAAACCGCATGTTACAATTTCAAATAAACCATATGCGAAAATGTCAAAAGTTGACATGTGATATGTCATTCTATTCAGAGTGTCATTTTCTACCGAATAAAGTAAAAAGATACCGAGGGTGCGATTTAAAAATCAAAAGTTGCAGTCATTTCCGAGGAAACCGGAAGTGACCGAAAACAATTGAATATGTCAATCAATCCTAATTTATGTCATATACTAACATACCAAATCTCGTTTTATCTGAAAAAATAAAAAAGTTATAGGGGTGGTCCACTTTTGAGACGCACCCGGTATATTTATCCGTTGCGTATTGCGTATCTGAGAGACAAAATTTTTCGACCTACATCGACAATGCTTCGAAATAAACTAAATCAGGCGATCAAGCGAATCGCTTGCCGCTTACTACTTGCCGTTCATTACCGAAAGAATATGTGCCCTGCGCACGCAGCTTACTGCTTGGCGCTTGGCGTTAACGAGTACTTACAACTTACAACATGCGACGGACAAAAAGCCGTATTTTTAAATACGAGCGATATTTCGCTCGAGTGATTACTCGGTTATTGCAATCGATTGATACTCGATTATTGAAATTAATCGGTTTTTCCCATCACTAGTACATGACGTAAATTAGGATTGATTGACGTATTCAATTGTTTCACCGGAAATTACTATAACTTTTGATTTTTAAATGGGACCTATATAGAAAAGGACATCCTGAATAGAATGACATATCATATGTCAACTTTTGACATTTTCGAATAAGGTTTATTTGAAATTGTAACATGTGGTTCATAACGACAATTTGAGTCAAAATACCAAGTGTGTGGTAGTGGTATCAAATTATTCGTAAAAAAATGCTTTTTCCAAATATGCTAATGATCCACCCTCGTTCCATTTGAAAAAATTAAAATATGATTAAAAATACGATTTGGGCATCTTTTAACCGGCTAGAACAAGACACTAAAAACATTAGACGATCAAATCTATTTTTTCCAAGGCTTCTTGATTAAAAATTAGTGTTTTAACATAGCCATGGCACTCTAGATTGAATATAAAAATACAATTTTTTATTAAGCGAGAATGTCAAAAATTGACATATGATATGGTATTATATTCAGAATGTCATTTTCTATCAAATAAAGTAAAAAAATACCAAGGGTGCTATTTAAAAATCAAAAGTTGTAGTAATTTCCGGTGAAACAGGAAGTGACAGTAAACAAATGAATACTTCAGTTAATCCTAATTTATGTTATATATGTACTAACATACCAAATCTCATTTTTTTATCTGAAAAAAAAAATAAAAAAGTTATAGGGGTGAGCCACTTTTGAGAGGCACCCGGTATAAAAACTGAACTAATTTTACTTACTACGGACTTATTACTACTTTATTAAATATATTATTATTACTATTTTAACTTCGTCAAATAAAATTCTGAAATGATTTTTTTTAAACTACAACATAGTAATCTTTAATCATTAAGGTAACTTCTGAAGCTGGTTTTTGATCATACTGTCAAAGTCAAGGTGTATTACTGGTTGCATAACTGCATTACTGCTTCATAACCGCAACGTGCATTGAAGAACCTGGCGAATTCGCCAGAAAGTAAAAGAAAATTACAGAATTCTTTAGAACATTCCAGAAACCATCACCAGGGGGTATATAAGGCCCGCGCTTTGATAGTTGAAGTCAGAAGACAGTCTGAAGTTTGATAATACCGCGCCTTAAATTGTGAAATACCGTTAGAGTAATAGTAGTTGCATAAATTGTGTTGTAAATAGTATAAGTTGTGTGTACAGAGTGAGATAAATAAATTCGTTAAGTATTTTATCGTGAGTTTAAATAGTGGACTCACGGAATCCGTAACAATTGGTGTCGGAAGTGCGATTCAAGAGGATTTTAAGAAGAAATTAGGTGGATTGGAAGACTTTTAGACCGAATTAGAGTATTTTTGTGGTTGGTACAAGGGAGCAAGCGAAGAAAATGGAGGAAGTAAGCAAATTATTGGGCGACTTTATGGAGAATATGAGAAGAGAGAAAGCAGAAGAACAAGAAAGACTGCGTAAAGAACGAGAAGAAGAGCGAGCCCGATTAGAAAGAGAAAAGGAAGAGGAAAAACTACGACGTCAACAAGAACAGGACCGGCTTGAGAACATTTTCGAAGATTTGAAAATTCAACGATAACAAGACAAAGAAGAAGAACAGGACAGTCTTGAGAAAATTTTAGGCAATTTAGAAATCCGTCAGAAGAATGAATGGAGGGAAATTTTAGAAGATATAGAGACGCACCGCCAGAAAGAAAGACAAGAAGATCAGGACCGTCTTAAGAAAACATTGGAAAATCAGAAATTTCGACTACAGAAGAATTTTGAAGACCAGGAAAAACGGCAGGAAAATCACCTTCAAGAAGCCGTAGAAGATCTTGAGGAACGCCTTCAGCAGAAAATGGAAAAATTAGAGATGGACCTACAGAAGACCAGGGCGCAAGTAAGAACACCTGGCGTTCAAGGAACTGCGAATCTTAAGGCACCGACTTACGATGGACAAACCACTTGGACGATGTACCACCGCCAGTTTGAAGCAGCGGCTGCTGCCAATGGATGGACTGACCAAGAGAAAGCAGCAACACTTGTCATCGCGCTGCGTGGCCCTGCCCTGGAACTGCTGCAAACTATCCCTGCAGCCCAACAGCAGGAATACCAAACTTTGGTCGCTGCACTGGACAGAAGATATGGCGACCAACATCGACGCCAACTTTACCAGGCTCAGATCAAGACACGCCTGCAGAGGTCCGGAGAGAGTCTGCAGGAATTTGAAGCAGACTTACGTCGGCTGGTACATCTGGCATATCCAGAAGCACCGGAAGGATTTAGGGAGGAACTCCTGCTCAGTTCTTTATCAGCGGACTGAGGGACCACGAGTTACAGAGGGCGCTGCAAATATCGCGGTTTTCGACCAGCAGCGAAGTACTTGTCAGGGCGCTGGAAATAGAAGCTGCATTTAGCGCCATTCCTAAACCGAAGATAGGTTCGGTAACGGTTGAGGAACAGCCAAAGAGTTCTGACATACGTTTGGAGGAGATGTTTAATAAACTATGTGAGTTACTAGTGAACAAGAGAGTCAACAACACCCAGACAGAGAACCAGAGAAGATCCATTAGGTGCTATAGATGTGGCAGGAATGGCCATATCCAACGGGATTGCCACATCCAAATGCCATTCCGTTCATCAGCAAGAGAACATCGGCTCATCGGAAGATCCCAGGACATAAGTTGCTATAGATGTGGCAGGAATGGCCACATCAAACGGGATTGCCGCGCCCAAGTGCGATTCCGTTTACCATCAAGAGAACATAGGCACCAGGAAATAAATAGTAATGAGCGAGTATTGGCTGAAGAAAACAGAGCCTCTAGGATGTTTTCCATTAGGAGTCTAGGAAAAACCGCTGACAGTTTGGTGATCAACGGGAAGGTCAATGGTAAAAGAATTCGAATGACTGTGGATACAGGCGCTATGGTATCGTTGGTGCGGACTAACTCAGTGCAGGGATTGAAGATGATGCCTCTTAGAAGAAGAGTGTATTTACGTACAGTTACGGGGGAAATGGCCGTTGTACGAGGAGAGCTTTCATGGAACTGGAGTTAGGGAATTTGAAGTTTCGGTATAGCGTTTTAGTGGCAGACATTGAAGATGATTTTATCATGGGTATGGATTTTATCATGGGTATGGATGTGATTCATGCGAAAAACCATGTC